TAGGTAATTATTAAGGCTCCTCTATTGACTATCATGTAATGATACCACTATCATCATCCATGAGACTGCCCTCCTCCCACCCTGAACACTATAAACCCTAAGCCCTAAAAAAGGAGTAAAGGCTCTACAGCCAGAACGCAGTCCCAGGCCTCGGGCCATCGCCCCTCCAGGGCCGGACTTGGGGCAAGGGCGGCAAATCCATCGACGTAAACAGCCAGCAAGGCCACCTGTTCGGAGTGTGGGGTTTAGGGTTTAGGNNTAGGGTTTAGGGTTTGGGGCTCAGGTGATGTAATAACTGTCTGGTCCAGAGATTTTTCTGTTGTGAGGTTAACATGTGTCAGGTTTGGGTAGAAGAGGGGATTCAAGTCAAAAGCAAATTCCAGGTCTGACGTAGGCTGTCGGGCTTGGGGCTTGAGGCTTGTAGCCTGGATGATGTGAATCAAGGTATAAGATATAGAGCTTTGAAGTATATGATGGTATAATTGTATTATTCAGCCCATCGGATTCATCTTCAGCTCAAAGAGGCCTCAGCATTCTCCATGCAACATCAGCAAGCTAGGGGACAAGGATCCCGGTTTGAGAAGCCCACTTCACTTCAGTCTGGGGCACCGCCTTAGGTTTCGGCGGAGCTGAAGTTCAGCTGCCTGCTTTGCTCACTTCTGCTGACAACTCAACCCAACACACACACACACATACAGATACCCACATACCCACATCGGTTGCCATAGCACTCCTGCGCAGGCCTACTTGCACTGGCAAAGAATGGCTAGAGGGAGGGTTTAGGTACTTACTTACTCACTTACTTTTCACCTAATGTACAACCTTGCAGCCTCGCACAAACGGACTTTGTTTACTAGCAGGCCGTCTAGCCCTCAGAATTAAACGTGTCCTTCGGGCTCAAGCCCTTCATGCACATACACTAGCAGGATGCAAATACCCAACGAAATGGATAAGCCATGAAGGGCCTCCTACAACATGTGTGCATGGTCAGGCACCTGCTAGAGTAGGGTGTTGACAATGGGACCCATAGAACCAGCGATCAACGTCAGAGAAGCCTGCTATGGTCCTATCTAAACAGGTTCCAATGCTGCATTGCCTTGGATAACGCCCAAAACTACGAGACCCCCGAAGCTTCTACTGGGGGCTCGACCGCTGTAGACGACCGTGCATGAGCAGTCGCCTCATCCACCTGTATCATGCAATGTTCCCGATTGGCTGGTTTGGCAGCTTTTTATGTAAGGACCCTGACCCTAAAGCAAATAAACCTAGATAAAGTGTACATAGTTTTGGCAGGACTGTTACCAGGGTTCAGCGCTCCAGCTGTGAAAAAGCGCTTGCGACTATGCACACGCACTTCGGGATCCCACATCTGATGCGTCTTCCCTAACAAAGGCTGGGAAAGTGTTTGCACGCGTGATGTACATGTAAATGTATGAGTGTGTGCATATATATATATATA